AATTCAACTGAGTTTGGATAATGCAGATAGATTGTCAGGAGCGTTGAAAATTAGATGGGTTAAAGGGGTTTTAAATTAGGTATTATATTTATTAAACAATAAGAGGAGTATCTTTGGTATATATGAAATACCTACAACTATCACTATTTGCTTAAACAAAAATGGTAAATTTATCCTTACCCTTCATTTTTATGGAACTCTATTGAATTTAATACTATATATGTTAAAGTAGGTATTAAGGTCACTCATCCCTATGCAGTTACAACATATAGTTTTCCGATTTTAACGAGTGTCAAAGTTTATAGTAAAATCATTTGAAATGTCTGTATTTAAAGGCAATCATTTCTGCAGTTAGTTTAACTGGGGATGTAGTTAAAAAAGTGTTTACTCTTGTAAATATTCAAACATTCCTGTGGCATTTTGGATAATTATATATGTATTATATTTACAGCAAAAATATGTAAACAACTATAAACAAGCGAATTTACATATACCAATTTTATTTTACCCTAACTTTTTTTTACTCATCATAATGTGTGTGTGTCATGAGTGTTTGTATTACAACAAAGCTTGGAAATCGGTGATAAAGTCATGCCATTGTAAATATTGTAAAATAAAATAAAATAAACGGAAAAACAATAATTTTAAATGGACTTGGCCTTGAGCTTTTTAACAAACTTTGCTTGAACCTTAACCTCAACTAAAGAAATTGTGATGGTCTTGCTTTTGACACCGCACATAAAGTTTTATTCAGTATTTTTGGGCTTTAAGTTTTACTTACACAGGCATCCCGCTCCACCACCAACACATTGAGCTTCTTTCCCAACTGCTGCGACCGGGACTTGAGCCAGAAAGCGGATGAGGCGCCCATGCCGCCACCACCTATGATCAGGACATCGCAGCTCCGAGGCAGAACGTCCCCGTGGGACTTGGCACTACTCAGGCAACGGAATTGGCTCAGAGCACCCGATCGAAGAACTTGTCCGAAGCGCAACATTATTATCACTAACCTAGGAGTTGCACATTCGTGTGCGGATTCATTCCATCTAAATCGGTGATAAGCGCAAACGGAGCGGAGATTAGATTTGTGCAGCCTGCCGTAAGTGTTTTGTGTGCACAGCAAACAGAGCTAGAATTACAGTGGAAGCTCCCTAAACACAATGCAATAACACAAAAAAAAATCTTTAACTAAGAAATAAACCAACCGGAAAGATAAATCATCTTAACCCATTAAGGAAGGTTAATTTGTAGAAAAATTTCATGATAACAAGAGCGTAAGGGATTCCTTCTTATCCTCAATAAACCAATTTTTAATTAAACAAGAAAGGAAGTTAACTTCGGCACGCCGAAGTTTATATACCCTTGCAGGTAGAACTTCTATGAATAAAAAACCATACAATATAATTGATATATATTTGTGTTAAAAAACAGTGAAGTAATACCTGCTTTCATTGTATTCACCTATACATATTATATTTGCAGTTTTATATTCAAAGATTTGCATTTTTCCTCTACATCAAACGATCGTTTGTATGGCACCTATATGATATAATAGTCCGATTTTAATGAAATTTGACACAAAATTTAAAACTAATATAAAATGCCTATACCTAAAATTTGATGAAAATGAAAAAATGAAAAATGAAAAAAAAAAAAAATGAAAAGGTTATAAATTTAATTGTATTAATTTCTCGATCGTTCCTATGGGAGCTATATGATATATTAGTCCGATTTTCATAAAATTTTATGCAAAATTGTAGAGTATAGTAAAATGGCTATATCTCAAATTTGATCCAATTCTATTGAAAACTGAAAAAGTTAAAAAAAATTTTGTAAAAATTTTCCGATCATTCCTATGCCAGCTATATGATATAGTCGTCCGATCCGGCCCGTTCCGACATATATACGAGTGAGAGTATATAGAAGGCTAACTACAAAGTTTCATTCAGATAGCTTCAAAACTGAGAGACTAGTTTGCGTAGAAACGGACAGACGGACAGACGGACAGACGGACAGAAGGACAGACGGACATGACTAGATCGACTCGGCTGTTGATCCTGATCAAGAATATATATACTTTATATAGTCGGAGGTGCCTCCTTTACTGCGTTGCAAACTTCTGACTGAAATTATAATACCCTGCAAGGGTATAAAAACTGTTACAACAATTAGATTTTGTATTGAATGGGAATTTAATGCGATGAAACGTTTATTATCCTAATTAATATTTACAAGTGTGTTTATTAATTTGTTTATTTATAAAATAATTAGTATTGTTAATTTGATAGATACTTTATTGTTTTTTGTTTCCTTTCACGACATTTACAAACGTGAAAATTATTGTTTTCGAGTGTTTGCTTTAAAATTATATTGTCATGACTCATTGTATTTTGTTTTTACATATATTTAATTTTCAAAAATGAATGCTATTTATTCGCGAGTAAATTTAATATTAATTTAAGCGCAGTGTTTATCATTTCAAAACGTATTTGGTAAATTGATCAGAAACCAAGATTACCTTTAGTGCAACGATCTTCGTCAGGGATGGGCACCTCCCGAAGGCCGAATGGAGCCGCCCTCAATAAGTGCTGGCACTGTGACATAATGTGACCCAATAACAAGCGCAAATTGCTGAAAAATGCACAACAATGGCAAATCGAACCTAATGGAATTTGTGCTGAGCGCTTTTTATGGCCACGCCGCTTCATCTACGTGATTTGGTTGGAACGCTGATTGAACGGATGGATGGATCGGACTTGGCACGAAATTCAGTCAAGAGATTGCAGCGTCACTGCTTCAAGAGTAATAGAAAAACCAGAAAGAGTTGGATATAAATATAAAAAAGGGGAAAATGGGTCAGTCATAGATGTAATGAAACGATCGCTTTGAGCTTTGATATATCTGCAACTCGCAATCGCGAAGGAGAGCACGGAGCAGAGCTACTAGTCACCGCATGCGATAATTATTAAATAAGCGCAATTATAGCGCCCCGAGGTGCCAATGGCCCAGAGACGACGGCGGGCTCGACCTCTCCGCCGAAACAAAAGCAATTGGCGAATGTCGATTAATTAGGTAGAGCGCCGCTTTGAAGCCCCTCGCGGCATTGAACTTCATACGCATCCACACATCCATACAAATTGCCATCAGCTAATGGCCAAATATTGATGATCTATCAGTTTGATGAAGTGTTCGGCGAAGACGCTGACTTGTCACTTGACACTGGATTTACCCCCAAAAGCCTTTCACAAATGTGACATATCTGTAACGGAGAATAAATAATAGCTGAATGTGTATAAATAATAAAATAATGCAGGTAAATTTGTTTGTAAATGATATTCTTTTAATTATGGTCTATCAGAATTTTGTTTCTGTATACTGTTTTTGTATATACTTAAATCTTTTAGGAGTTCTGGGAGAATACTTATTTTCAGGTAATTAAAATAAATGAACTACGATTATCTGATACTTGAAAAGTTGTAAACCCTAAAATAATTATTTAATTTCTGTAAAAAGTGGGATTGGAACCTAACATAAACAGAATTCATCGAAAAATGCAATATCTTAAAATATGGAGTTAAAGAAAATCTAAAGTGCTTTCATACTAATTTTTTTACCAAAGTAATTTCGCTTATAGAATCAATTAGTAAAAGATTTAGTGTTGTATCTTGAAATATAATTGCTTATTAAAAACATCAAAAGCAATGTACTACAATTTTAGTTAAAGCAAGAACAAATTTAGTTATTTATCAATAGAAACATGGTCTGATCAAAGTTAGCAAGTTAATTAATAACTAAGAATATACATATATACCTTTGGGGTAGAATAACGCATTGACGAATTTGATAGCTTATGGACTTATAATACCCTTTAAAGAAGAAAAATTCTGTGACTTTGCAATACATTCTTATTTTGTAATAAAATTGAAAGACATTAGTTTCTTAATAAATTTTAAGAGAAGTCAGTTTCTCCCAAACAGCTGAAAGCCAGTCTCATTAATGGCATGGCCTGACCTGGGGCACAGCCAAGTTGGTTGCATAAGAAGCCGTCAACACCTTCGCTTTGGCCAACAACTAGTGGTCAAGCTGCCACACGCAAGCGCAGTGGCCAAACATTATTTTCCTCATTCTTCCTTGACTTATATTTATGCGTGTGAACTGCCCAGAGGCAGTGGCAGAAAATTGTCATAAATTGAGGCGTCTCTTGTTTTCTTTTTATGTGAAAAGTGAAAAGTCATAAATCAACAGCGGAAGGTACTGTGATTATCAATGAGGCGTTAGGGAAAGAAAAGAAAAACTGGTTCAATAAGGCATAACTTTCGAGAAAAGATTTTCATTCAAAAAACTGAAAGTGCTTTATGCTTTACCTAAACTAATATGGTTTTAAAACCCAACTGCGAAATATTGCAAACATTTTACATTTATTTATTATAAGTTCTAAAAGCTAGCCAGATTTGAATATGATCTAATTTAATATATTAATTTTCATTATGTTTCTCGATAAATTCTTTGATTTATATCCTTAAATAATGTAATTTATTACCCAATAACAAATTATTTATTTTAAACAAATCTATAATATTTTTTTTATGTTTATGTTGTGATCAGTTATCATTTCATTATATTGCAGAAATGAATTTCAAATTACCCGCCTATTACTTTTACTTTTCAACACTGGACAGAAATGGTAATACTATTTGTCTTACTCTCACCCTCGCACACATAATATCTAGTTGTCTCGCTCAAGCTGTGTGTAATACCAACCGGCACTATAAGCATATGTGTGAAAAAGAGACAAGTCTACAGACTTGCTAGTATAAAAGTTTGAGAGCAACTGGGCGCCAAATTTAAAATCTTCAAAACATTTTTCTCAGTAAATAATTCTGCTTTTTTACCTACTGGAACTTCTCCATCTCCCACACTTTATACAATTTTTTCTAAATTTACGCATTTTATTCATTTATATACATAAACATACACTCTTGCAATATTAACCTGGTCAATTTTACAGATTTTATGGAAAGTAAGCTAACTATTTTAAGGGACTTGACTTCGAATGGACAGCGGAAGGTGGCAATAATTTAAGTGTTTAAAATAGGGTTTAAAAATAATGATTAGTTGTCGCTTGCATTTCGTACATCTAGATCGAACCTAAGGATAGTCCTAAGTCTACGTTTCTCGTGCTAAGAATGAGGAAGTTGAGGAGGGGACGGCGTCCAAAACGCGTCTCAGCTGCAGTCGCCGCGGGGACTGCAGTGGAAAAGTGTTTTAGTTCTCGCCGGATCGACGTTCCTTAACCTAGGTAGCGTATATACAGGGTTGAGGGCTCATTCGTGGCTGCTCCAGCCGCGTTCACTTCATGTAATAACTGCTGGGAGCTCGGCCAGAGGTGTATGTGCTCATCGGTATGCCCTGCGGACCAGGGATGTGATTGTGGCCCGTCACGGACTGATTCTGCGAGCCGTACAAGTGGTCCACGCTGGAGTTCCCAATGCCATTGCCCGACGGCTCGTAGTCCACATCGTAGTAGATGCCAGACTGGTTCTGGAATTGCAAAAATATATATTATAGCGAATGGGAATGGCATAGGCTTTAAGGATTATGAAATCCATGGGATATCCTACCGCTATGCTGCCATTGCTGCGACTCTTGGGGCGTGGCACTTGGAAGTTGCGCCCCAGCAGATCGGCGCGATCCTCCTCCTCGCTGGAGCTGGAGTTCTCCAGGGTTCGCATTCCATTCGAGCGCGGGCCCAGGCCAAGCCTTCTAAGTCAAGGGAAAGGCGAGTCAGAAGGGCTTAGAATTTGGATATCACTGCAAAATCTTACCTGGGCAATGGCACTGGTGGCGCCAGCGTGGCACTCGGATGCATCTGCATGGTACTCTGGAGCGACATCCCGCCCAAGGTGCCCATGCCCATGGCGCCTAGATTGGGGTACGCGAACATGGCCGAGGAGGGGCGAGTGGGTCCAATGGGCTCGGCCTGCTGGTACATATCAAAGCAAATCGTAATAAGTATTTATGGAACTTGGACAAACCATAATTAGAAAGGTTTTATAGCCTAACTAGATACCCACCCCGTAGTGATTCGTCTGTGCCATCACATCGGCTATTTGTGCCCAACGCATGCGATCCTCTAAAGTCACCTGATAGCCTGCCTGAGGCAATCCAGCGGACTTAAGTGGCGCCGTGTTCATGTAACCAAATACAGGGGATCCCATGGCATTCTTCTGCTCACGCTGCCACCGCCGGGACCACATGATGAGGCACACCAGTGTCAGAACAATAATGATGATGGCCGCCACGGAGGCGCCAATGGCCACGCCCAGGACCTCGCCGTCAATCTCGCACTGAGCGCCATAGTGGCTGGAGTCGCAGGTGCACACCTGTCCGCCATCGTCGCCATAGCTGCAGGTACCGTGATTGTTGCAGACGGAGTCAGCGCACGCCTGGCATTCCCGTCCTGCCCTTGCCGGCTGGTCAGCCCAGGGATCACGCAGTCCAGCCTCACAGGCACAGCGGAAGCTGCCCCACGTGTTGGTGCAACTGGCACCGGGATGGCAATCGTTTAACTCCTGCGACTGGCACTCATCCAAGTCTTGGAGCGCCGACACTGCGCCCTCTGGAGAGCTGACGTAAAGCACAGAGTTGCCAATGTTGTTGTTCCGCCGATGGAGCACGCCCAGGAGGTGCTTCTGTACGTCACTGCGCAGGTTGGGCCGCAAGGTCTCCACGCTCTCATCCAGCTGGGGAAGAGGAATAGGAATTAGTGAGAGTCATGGTAGAGGAACAATCAGAGATTGCCTGAGCAGGGATGCTCCTAGGAGAGCTCCTTCTATCTAGCTGGAGTAACTCACCTTGATTGTCATATTCACATAGACCCCACTTCCGCCCAGATTGGGATCACCTCTGTAAATGTTGTTCACCTTGGCTTCCATAAACTCATCCGAGTAGGGAGTCATCGACATGGCAGAGTCCAGCTTGAAGAAAGAATACTTGATTAAAGACCTTGGAACTTCAGATTGAATGAAAGTCCTTATGATAACAATATGCATAGCGCTCTACATGCATATGTTCTCAAGTAAAATCACTTACCGCTCGAATAGATTCATAGCTCAGCTGACCGAAAGGCTCGCTGTGCCTGTCCATCAGCTTGGTGTCCCACACTATGCGGTGCTCGTAGATGCGGTCCACGCGCATGCCCAGATGGAATGAGATGACCCGACGACAAGGTTCCCGGTGCTTGCGACGGGAGTAGCCTAAATCACAAGACATTGATTAGGTTCTATGCATCAATATCCTTTTCGCTGAAAACTCACCTGGCCTACAGTGGCAGCTGGACACCCCGTTGTCCGTCTTGCATCTCTCGTGTTGCGCCTGATCACAGGTGGAATCATCTCCCACAATGCAGGTGTCAATCCTTACAGGCGGCTGCGTTGGTCTCTGACGGTAGTGGGGCCTAGTGGGACCTGCATTGGTCGTTGATGAGCCTGCTGGCTGACCCGCCGGCTTGCTGTGTCCCTGAAGATCCACCACCTCCGTTTCCGGCACCACATAGCCACCGCTGCTCTGGGTAACGGCGTTGGCCGGCACCGAAGGCGAGCTGGCACCTTTAGTTCCACCGATGGCTGGAGAGGATCCAGCACCTGGCAACTGGGGCAGACGCGTGGCCGGCGTCGTGGCCCCAGCTGGGGGATCTGTGGGGTCACCAAAGAGATTGATGTAAGTGCGTTTGCCATCGATCGAGACGAAGCCATCGTCACCTGATGCCGACACTATGATGTCACCCTGCCCTCCGCCCGCTGCATAGGATCCGTATGGCTTGATGTTGATCGTCTGCTGGGAGCCGCTGCCCTTGGGTCCGGGTCCCTGGATGGCGGACAGGGTCACGTCGAAGATCTCGCCGTAGCCGGGCGGCAGGTGCTGCCTTGTGGGCTGCACCGCAGGAAGGGGTAGCTTCTGTTGTGGCTGGGGCGGTGGTCGCTGGTTAACGGGGCGCGGCCGACCGCCGGGCTTGAACTCGGGGTCATCGAGGACAATCCCGGGTCGGGGGTGGTAGGGGGCGGGCGGAGTGGCATTGGGATTGGCATTGGAGTTGTTAGGTGGCGCACTTTCAGTGGAACTCGTAGTTGATGGCGGGGTGGTGGTGGTGGAGGTGGTAGTGGTGGTTGAGGTGGAGCTAGTACTGGTAGTAGTGGTGGTAGTGATGGGTTCTTCGGAGGACGTGGGTTGGATGGCTGACGACACAGTGGAGGCCGTAGAGATGCTAAGCGACGAGGTGGAGATTGTGTCCAAGCCGGGCGTTCGGTTAGCCGTCATGAAGATGACCTCCTCGGTGGAGGGATCCAGATCGGGAAGCTCGGAGCTATCCATGGGCATCGGAACGTACGTGGAGGACATACCCATCACAGTGTGCACCACTGAGCTGGTCTCTATGATGGTAGTGTAGCCCTCATCCGGGGATTGATCCTCCTGCAGCTTCTTCTTCTCACTGCCTGGCTTTGGCTTGTGCTTCTTTTTCGAGGAAATGGTTGGGGGCGTGGGAGGATTGCTGGTTGTGGAGGGAGGAGGAGGTGGCTGCAGCTCATCCTCGACCTCTCCGCCTCCAGTGGCATCTGTGTCCTGGTCCGAGACCTCAATGTACTGGGCATTGGCATCTTCGTTGGAGAACTCCGAGTCGTAGGTTGTGTCCGTGGGCTGCACTGCATCCTCTCCAGCTGCTGACGGATGCTGTTCCTGATGATTCTGACCCTTCTCTGGCTCCCTATCCAGCTGCTCTGGGTTAGGCTGCGTAGAGGGTTGCACTTGTGGAGTCGGCAGGGGTTTGTACTGCGGCAGAGGTCTCCGATTGCCGCCCACACTGGTGGCGATGGGTGGACGCGGCTTGTTCCGGTACCAGGGCGGACGATTGCTCACAAAGCCCGGACGCACGGGCACAATCTGCTCCGGAATGGGTACGCCCGTGATGAAGGGACGCTCCGGACGATCGAAGGGGTATGGCGGGGGACGCATGGAGGTGCCGGGCTTCTGGGCCTCATAGTCGATAGGCAGGTTCTGGGTCTCGGAGATCCTCGGGGGACCCCTGTTGTTGATCCTGCTGGCCGATGGACGTCGGACGCCTTGCGTATTGGCGTGGACATTGACATTTCCGTTTAGCAGCTTAACGATGCCCGTGATGATGTCCTGGATGTCGGGATTGCCGTTCTGGCGCGGACTGTGCGCACTATGCGGCACCTGGGTGGCACTGGCCGTCGCTGAGGTGGCAGTACTGCTCGGACTCGGCCGGATCGGGGACCCCGACACTAGCGGTCGCAGGTCCCCCCGCCCTAAAAAAGACTGCTCCGAAGGACTAGCGCTGCTGGTGGTGCTTTCAGCTGACAGCGTCTTTCCGGCCCTGATCCTCTGATGCGTCCGTTCCGGCTGCTCCTCCTGGTTGTCGTACGTTCCCGTGGGCTTGATATTGTAGTGGAAGTACCGCCCGGCGGACACGTCCTTCTCCAGCTCCTCCGGAAAGTGAACATCGTTGGGTCCGGCTGCAGCCTTCCGTTCGTGCAGGATGGGTGATGCGGATCGTTCCACGCGCTCCGCCCGCGTCTCATTCTCGTTCTCGTTGCTCTTGCGGGGCGGGGAGTAGCTCTCGGCCAGGCCATTGACAGAGTCCGCCACGGTACTCTCGATGCTCAGGCGGCCAGAACTCGGATGGCTACTAGACTTGGGCGAGATCTGGGATATGCTCTCATGCTGACCAGCTGTAAAAGAAGAGAGGAGAGAATAATTAAGGGTTTTGAAATTAATTTGGTGCTGATTGTATTTGTTTTTGTTAGCAACTAAATATAACAATACTCAAAAATGTATAAGATTTCTCTAAATTCTCGTTTTCTCTAGCTAAATCTACTCGCCTGGTGAAGCTAATCAGAAATACTAGGAGTTAATGCCTATCAACTCAATGAGATAATCACCCCTTTGTCAATTTATTAATCAGTTAACTTTATTAATAGTAATATCAGACAGCCAACACCCTTTATATCATCTGTGGAAAATGATTAGTTATACATACTATATAAGCTCATATAACTCTCTAACATTAATCAATAAAATCGAACTGAATCGGAGACAAATATCAGTTCCACTTCCATCAAATTTTCCACTTTATTGAAACGAAAAGAAAGGGAAAGATTTCGATGGAAAGAGCTTGGAATTCCGAGCTTCGGTTTCCCTTGCATCCATCATCGCAATGAAAGAATCTTCACATCGTTGGTTTCACTTTTCACTTGCCCCATGCACCTGCCCCTGCCACTTGCCCTGCCACTTCCCCTTCCCCTACCATTTCCCTTTACCTCAGCCACTCTGTCATTGTCAACGCGATTCATTTGCATTTGGAGGAGAGAAACAATGCCCAGCCCATGTTGGCTCGGATCAGTTTCAATCTCTGTCGCAGCCTTTAGCAGGCATCATTTGTTTTCGATGTCAAGTCTGCGTCGCGGCTTTGTCTTTGGGGCCCGGCCTTTCGTATTCTTTTCACTCTCTGTGCATGTAATTGTAATTGTGAGTGCCTGCCTTCGAAATTGTGGGTTTGCTGGGAGCTCGCGTACAGCTGATGTCTTGCACATCTGTCACAATGGCGCAGGCTTATTACTCATAGCCCGGAGCACACTCTGATGGATACGCTAGCCCACAGATGTGTGCAGACATGGATACGCAGATACAAGGCCTCGGCCAGATCTGCAACACTCGCTCGGCGGCCTAGCAAGAATTTCACAAATTGCTACGTCAAGCGTTGAAAAGATGCCAGTCCGTGGCTGTTGTTGTTTCTGTGGCTGATTTTCATCATTTTCCTCGGATATGGCGAATAAATGAGAAGAGCCTGCCTTTGGCAACTCTTAAATATAGATTGTACTCGTGTGGAATGCAGATGGTAATCGAATGGGGACAAGCTCCACTTGATCCTCCTCCCCATTTCCCATAAAGAGATATAAGATGGGAACGCCTTATCGCGAATGAAGCTATAATGACCCAATTAACATAGATTCAACTCGATCATACCCTCGATCACAGAGATCTAAGTTCCTTGATTTCATAAAGATCTTTGCTTTTAATGTTACCAGATCATCCCTCGTGAAGACAGATTGATTGAATATAAATTTCCAATCATAAACACTCACAAGCAGCTCTCTAGGTGAACCCAGCCACTTTTTAACACCTCGAATCTCGATGAGATTTATTTGCCTGCCACTTTTTCCGTTGAGCTTTCTATGACTTCCAATTCAACTGCGACTCCATCTCCGACTCTGAGACTTCTTCCATTCTTTCGGGTTGTCAAGTGCATGTCATCTTTTGGGCTTTATGGCAGTAGGCCAGAACCAGTTTAAGGTTGAGGCCACAACCATAATTCACACTCGTTCACCCAAACACGTTTAGTTATTGAGCTTAACCCAATTGCCGGGCTGGTGCTGGTGCTGGGTCTTGTGGTTTTTTGATTAAGTTTGGCACACATTTTACTTTCACCTGTCGCTAAACTGGCTCAACGCTGATTGAAACACACAATATTTGTTTCACTTTCTACGGCTTAACGCCATTTGTTGCGATTTTGATATAATTAACGCTTCCTTTTGGGCAAGGCAAGACAAAAGGCGGCGACACAGTTTTCACTTTCCTTGCGTCGAATTAGTTGGTTAGTTTTCAAGTTTTTCCCTCGATTTTTATTGATTCCAAAAGCTAGTCTGGAATTGGCATTGGAATTGGGATTTTGATTGGATTCGATTGGCGGTAAAAGTGAGCCGGCGGCTGGGAAATCGCCAGACATGGCACTGGACTGGATGTGTAACGCAATTTGAGACACAAAAATTGAATTGCATTTTGGAGCGGGGCAAGCGGCATGCTGCCATGCTGCATGCTGCACTTTCACGGCCAGTTGCAACGAAAGTAAAATCTTTCAATTGCCGGACCCCAGATCTCCGATCTCCGAACCCCGATCTCCGATATCTCCCAACCCCCGATCCGGGTCCAGACAAGCTGGGTTGAATGCACCCGATATGACAACAACATGGAGACATCGTCATTAGTTCCAGTGCTTGCCTACACTAATTTAAACGCTACTTCAGCGAGGACACACGACTTGTGGCCCCACGTCTCTTAGTCAATTTCCCGGCCTCGGCCCAACCCACTCGGGCGGCAGTTTTCCCGGCTCTACTCCGACTTGGGCTCCATTCAAATTGGCCTTTTTCAGCGCCTCCAAATTGCCGACAGAAAATCACTTTCTATTTCGCTGCACTTTTCGGCTGTTTCACAACGTCGTGGCCAAAGGCAGAAACCGACATTAAATCCGCCTGCTGCCTGCTGCCTTTAATGTGGGCAAAGCTGGCGCAGATAATTGCTTATGAAATACGACAATTTTCTGTTTCGATTTCAATATTTAGCACGCGTACCGAGACATTACGCATACGACATGTGTGCCCGTGTAAAGAAGGCCCGCATTATGCAATAATAATAACATTTTATGGTTTGCTGCAAAGGCAAAGGCGACAATTCGTCGTGTTTTCACCGTAAAACAATTTATGTAATTGTTTTTAATAGTCAAGCTATGCAGTCAGGCGAATATTAAAGGCATTTACATTGAAGTTATCACTTCTAAAGACTCACAATAGACAGCTTAGACTTTTCTTTAAAAACCTATAAATTAAGGATTACAAATGATACTCAAAGAAAGCCTAATGAATGGTATCACATATGTTAAATGTAATCCATTCATGTTTCCTCATCTTTTGTAGGCACAAAGTTTTCCCTTGTCTTCCAAAAGATATCTAATACAAAAAATCTAAACTAATCCCCAACAAATATTTCTCTCACCTCTCTCTTATTTTATATGAGTATTTCTGTTTTGTGGCCTAAGCTTCTTTCATCTTTCTTCGATCGGCCCATAAACATAAACATGGCCATAGCTTGGGTCGTCCGATTGTGAATTCCGCAGGCCCTTCGGCGAAGATTTCTATTAAATGGCCAGTCCCTCATCTCGCATCTCAGCAGCAGCCACGCCTCGAACGGAAAGGCCAAGAACGACGCGGGACTCAAACCATTCTGCGTTTTTGGCCTTTTCGGGGCGTTGTCTAGTGATGTCCAAAAGCTGGGCTATTAAAAATTTGATTTAATGCTAATTGATTCTTCGGGCATCCAGCTTTCGTTGTGGGCGTTGTGGCCCCCGCGGCTAAGACTCTGGATGATATAAAATTGCCAGGGAAAGTCGAATTCTTGTTCCTAGTAGAAGCTTTATCTGTGGCAGCTGCAAAGTCATTTCCCCGCCTTTTCATTAGCCAAGCAAATAAAGTATCTTTGGCCCGGGCCTAAGCACTTGTGCAATGGAGCTGGTGTTCTTTCAAAGGAAAGGAGTCTCAAATTTGTCTTGGCCAGACTTGAAGTTCTGCCTTTAACTCTATGGTTTACTATGGTAAATACCTAACTTTAAATCAATATAAATTGCCATTTTTTATATTCTAACAAAGTAATATAAAGGCTAATATCATATTTTTCCTATACTTGAAGTCTTAAAGTCTCTCGAAACCGAAAGGTATTCTCCAAATGGCTTGTCTATTGTATATTAGTAAACTATAATATTTATATTTAATATAAGGTACTGGAAAATTTGTTTCGTATTTTGTCTATTTCTTCCACAGTGCACTCCGCAATTAACAAAAGTGACGACGAGAGCGCCAACATAGCAGCCTAAGACAAGGCAAACTGCACTCTAGTTCCACTCGGCCCGAAGTTGAGTCTGGTGAAATTGAGCATTTCGTCGGAAAACTGATTTTCCGTTTCCATATTTTGTTGCTTTCTTGGTTTTCCAGGTACCGTGACCATGACTGAATCTGAAGCTTGGCCCTTGGCATTGCACGAGTGTCTTGCCTTTGGCAGCGCGTGCCTGGCAATTAGATATGTTTACTGCATTTTAACCGATACGAATATATATCCGAGTTGCACTTGAGAATATTCTTGGAATTTCAACAAGATGAAGTTAAAATATAAATCACACATAACTTAATAAAAGCTAATAAGTAGACGATAGAGTAAGTCAGATTCCACGACTCCAGTTTCATTTGCAGTAATTACAATCCTCCAAACATTTCAAGTCAATGATACTTACTATATATTTTTGTCTAACTTAAACCCATCTAAATTTAAAGCCTTAACGAGTGTTACAATTTTGTTTTAGTGTTTGCTTTCATCCTTCGCCTCGGCCACTCGGACTTGGGTCCGAAGCGAATGACCTTAATCAAGGTCTGGCTCTGATCTAACCGCCTCAAAGTCGAGCCAAAGTCGAGAGCGGAATCCCGAGCTGGTTGCAGTCCAACGGCTTGGTGGTTGCTCTGACCAGGCTTCCGGAGATGCTGCTGCGAATTCTGCAACTTTTGCAGTTGGTTACGCTCGGCTGGCTGCCCGCTGTGGGGCAGGTGGGGCAGGTGGGGCAGGTCTAGGCCAGGCCGAAAACCAATGCAGAGAATACTGGTAGATGGAGAAAATTTATAACCTGGACGCGGTCTGCTGGCCTTAATCGTTCCCGGGCAAAGAAACTGGAAGGAATCCTCCCATGGCCGCAGTTCCATCCAGCGCAAGTTAATTGCCGGCACTTATGAAATCTAATTGTCTCACATGCTTAATTAGGCCCAGGTGGGAGCGAACAAGAATATCACATTCCTCGCTGGCCAGGCCAGAACAAAGGCCGGAATAATGGCCATTCCAGAACGAGGCTTAGCCCTGT